TGGTTTTTGAGAGCCCTTTTACAAAATTGGATCGGTGCGTAGGTAGATTTGCACTAGTATATATTGCATTTTACGGGTGATGTTTCGAGTCTTATAAAGTAATTATTAATGAACTAATTATAAATATATATAAATATTTCAGTAGTTCAATGATGGTAGATTAGTTTTATGAAAGTTTTTGATAGTAATTCTATTTAATTCAATATCAAAATACGAGGTAAACCTGCATTATCTGCACGGAGTTTAGATGTTTTTTTTTTGATAATTAATGAGATGGAAAATCAAAATTCTAATACATTATGTCACAACAAAAACATATTTTTGATGTAGTACTAATTAATTTGATCTAATTTATTGAACATTATTGAAAGATAGAGGCGATTGAAGCTGTGCATATTATCGTTTTTTCCGTATACTAGCTGCAGTAGAACGATCAGTACAAAAAAAGGAAAATAGTATTTGCAAATATTCTACAGTAACTTACAATAGGAAAAATAAATCTACTGTTTACTTCTATTCTAAATGGTCAAAATCTTTTGTAAGGGGGTAAACGAGGCGCTCGAAAATTACGATTTTTTGCAAAATATGTGAAAGGGCTCTTAATTTATAAAAGCCTACAACATTGAGATTCAAATTCAACGGGCCCGAAGCCTCCGGTCTGTAAAAAAAGTAGTTTGACCAGATGCGTAATTATACCGTTTTGTTCACCAGCTCCTCATTTATAATCTTATACGCTTTACGCTGATTATTGAATCTTTTAAGCGCATCAGTAAAATACTTAAACCAATAAATAAAATTTATATTTGGTAATCATCTCGAAAGTTTTCTTGTTCAATTCTATCTATTTCAAATTGCCACATAATAACTCATGAACAGTGACGAGTGTAGCACGACCACTTTGATAACATCACCTAGCCTACTGGATATAGGCGCTAATATTTTATTGTTTCCAATTTAAAAAAGTTTGTTAATATTTTTTTTCTGGTTTTATAATTTGATTGTTAATTTGGCAAATAAATACCTTTTAATAAAATTATAGTAACTTTTCGTTTTCATTAACACAGTCCATCCAAACCACACATGAAAAAACTTAAATAAAAAAAATGAGTTGCGGTATCACCTAAGTAGTTAATTGCAATTCAGAACTAAAGTACTTCCCGTGAACTTAGAATCTTGAAATTTAGTACGAAGTATCGTCTTATAGTAGTCGTACGAAGTATCGTCAGATAAAGGAAAAATTGCGAAAACCGTAATTTTTTTGTTATATTATAATTATAATATATTTTTTTTTAATTTTAAAGTTACTACCTCTTTTCTCATGAACGCGTAGAGGTATTAAATTGAGTTTGTACGGAACTCTCGGGGCGCGAGTCCGACTCGCGATACCAGCATTCTCTCTTTGAGTTACAGAAATCGTTTTGAAGACACTCATACTGACAGTGAGCAGTATCGGTATCATAAAAAAGATTTCAAAGATGGAAATCGGTACAGATACTAAGAGAGAAAAAAATTCAATATGCGTACTGTTTGTCATTGAGGAGTTCCACTGTTTTTCTCCAAAAATACATATCAGATCCTTACGAAAGAAAGGTTTTTTGATAAAAGCTGATTCAAATCCTACTTACTCGTATATTATAAATGTGATAGTTTGTAAGTTTACAGGTTGATTGTTACTCAATCACGAAAAAATGGCTGATAGGATTTGGATAAAATTTGGCACACAAATAGTTTAACCTGGATTGAGACGAAGAATACTTTTTATCACGAAAAATTTGCAGGTTCCTGGGGTAACTCAATCACGAAAAAGTGGCTGAACGGATTTGGATAAAATTTGGCACACAAATAGTTTAACCTGGATTGAGACGAAGAATACTTTTTATCGTGAAAAATTTACAGGTTCCTGGGGATTCTCGAAAAACTGAAGTTAACGTAGACAAAGTCGAGGGCGGCTTCTTCGTTATGCGGTTCGGAATTTCTAGTAAAAAGTGAATCGTCAAAATCCGTCGACAAAATAATTTGAATTATCAAGTAACAAACATTTCTTCTGCTTCCTGCAACGGGCGTTTCCGCAACTCGACGTCCTTATGGCGCCTGTTTTGCGTGTAAATCAATAAACATTTAAAAAATACCTCCAAAATAACCTCCTCCTCTTTGAAGTCTCTTAAAAATACTCTTTACTTCCACACGCTGTGTACGAAGTTGTACACTTACACCGCGTGTGATGGGAACCTACCGGCTGTATAGACGATTAACCCCTTGCCCTACGTTTTACATAAAGCCGCCGCACCACGTTAGAGGCCACGCAAGCCTCACTTGATGCTTTGCCTCGTTCCTTTATTAAAAATTTACCACCAAAGCTGAGTAACCTGAAAGCATTCCATGGACTATACAGAGTTGAAGTTACATGGCCATTATAGAACGGTGATACACCTAGTCGGCGAGTCATTTATTATAATGCGACAATGAGGAATGATTTTATTACTTTTTTGGGGTTACTTACTGAAAGCTTGACAGCGGAACCCAGCCTAGGCTAAGAGAAGTAGGACATAGCGGATTTTCCGCTCGATTTAGTCGCCGGCGGTCTGGGAAAGTAACCTCCGCCTTATAATTATAAATAATAAGTTATTACGTTGACCCAAACCGTAATAGTTTTAGAAAACGATCTCACGTTATTTACTAATGTTTATAGAATCCATTAAAAATAGATATTCATCATTATGTTGTGTATTTCGGTAAAAAAACTAAATCAAAAGCTCTATTTTCAAGTTGCCGCGAAAAACTTATCTCTGAACAATATGGCGTCTCACTGGTGTGTGACGTCACACGACTGTTATTAAAACGTCAAACCATACAATCTAATGTCACTTTCTTGCGTGTGACGTCATTTTAGGCTCCACCAATCCCAAGCATTTTGGGTCACGTGACAAAAGACAAGAAAACTATTATCTTTATCGTAGGTTTTTACTTTTTAGTAAAATTATGAATATTTTTTCCGTAAAAATAATAAAAACTCCTTCCAATATTCATTCTAAATACAGATGCTAACAATTGGCACTTTATTTTTAATACTGTCAAATACCCTATTATTAATTTAAGAATTTTAAGATTATTATTTTAGAATTTTAAATGGATTATTTGTTTGATTGTTATTATATTATTATTGCAGGGCTCATGTTTGCGAGCTGTTATTATAATTAAAGAACTAAATGTAACCAACATGAAGCAACAAATATTATCACTTACGATTTGCAATTACAAATTAGTGAATCAAATCAAAAAAAATATAGGTCAGTAACGAAATGCCTTCATAATGGCTTCTGCCGCTCTTCGCAACTCTCGCAGCCCACGCAGCATGGGACCCTGGTCCATAGGCCTCTGGGTACTTATATGCACCTGGTAAACTGCGTCTTATGTAGACCGGATCTTCGCACTCTTGCCCTTCGGGTACGGTGTCTGTTGTAAGCTAGTGTGCATGTTTGCTGGGATTTAATCGAGCGATTTACAAAAGATTGTCGATTTGGACGCGGCCAAATGTCATGGTCAGTTGTTGACTTTTCTACCCTATACAAAGAAAGGTCAGGTATGCTGTATAGTGGGAGTACTTCACAAGATGCATAGATTCCCCATTTAGGAGCAATTACATTTATTCGCAACCCGTATTCGGGTGCACCAAAGTCATTAATCGAATTCTGGCATCCGAAGCAATATTTACACTGGAATACAGGCTGTATAACCTGAATGTCGTAAAGTCGTTGATGACACAATAAACACGCTATTCTTCTTAATCACTTTAATGTTTTATAATTCACAAACAAACAGCATTTACTTAACAAAATCAACATATTCTCTATCAATCATTTTTAGGAGCAAAAAAATATTTTTCCATATTTAAGACATAGTGTGCTTTCCAATTACAGAGCATAATGCGACTCAGTGCCGCACAATGCCCAATTATGCTGATGCTTAATTGGAACGTGAATTAGTTTTCAAATGCACAAGCAGAGTGCGCTAAGTTCAGTGTTGAAAAAAAAGTCAATGTTTGTACCTTCATCCATACTTATATTTATTTTTTAACAGTTTGAATGAACTTTGATTATTTAAAAAAATACTATTTAATGAAACGAAAGCTTTAATAATTTTTCAACAATAAATAATATTAGGTACTAACGATAACATATAAATAAAACATTTCGATCAATGCCAACTTAAAGAAAAAACACTTGTTAATTTTCTGTCTCTAAGTTGGTACCATTGCACGCATCACACGAAAGCATCACTTTTGAGAGTGCTCAATTGTGCGAAGCGTTGCTGTAGTTGGAACACTCAACGTTAAGCATTATGCCGCATAATGCGCAATAATGCTGTAATTGGAAAGCAACCTAATTCACGTTCCAATTAAGCATCAGCATAATTCGGCATTGTGTGCCACTGAGTCGCATTATGCTCTGTAATTGGAAAACCACCACTTGTCGGGAAAACAAAATAAAAATTCTAATTCAAATTCAAACTCATTTATTCAGTCTAGGCTGTTACAAGCTCTTGTGAAAGTCAAACGGTTTGTAAATCTACGGCGGGAGACCTTGTACTGAGAAGAACCGGCAAGAAACTCAGTAAGGGCTATTTTTTTCTCCCTGGTTTGTTTTATACAGTGTCGTCAATTGAAAGATGACATCAAAAATTGAATACATGTGTTGATGTCAACTTCCATCACATTAATATTATTAATTAACAAAGGTTAATTAGTATACATACATTCGGGCTAGCGACAAAATGCAATCGCGCCATTATGTTTTTTTGCCGCGCTCGAGTAAAGCCGAAAATCTTCGCTAGGGCTTACTATAAAAGTTTATTAAATTTCATTTCTTTTACGCACTCCTTGAAGTTATGTGTAGAGGAATTCTCACGCTGTTTCAAGTATAATTGTTTCGTGACTAGAAATAGAACTTTTAAAAAATAATTACGTTACAAAAAGAATATTAATTATTATTACAAACGGCATACTGAAAGTAAAAAAAGATGGAAAAAAGTGACATCACGAAAATGTCACTCGAATTTGTTTGGAACAAATGTGTCACTGTCACTGATGGAAAGTTTCAAATGGACAAAAACCGAAATGAAAGTAACAATTTTATAATTTCACCAAAATGAAGAGGTTACAGAAATTATCATTCAACTTACGCTGCTGTGGAAAATCATGTGAGTAATTTTAGTTTTTCTTGTTTTTTTCGAAAAAAGCATGCGGGTGTGCGTCTGTGATTAGAATAAGCTGGGCAAGTTTTGTGAAAAAAGGACGTTATTCATACCAATGTAGGTACATCTTAATTTATGCCAGCGACTAAAATAGGATAAGATTTTTTTATGTAGGATTTTTAGGTCCGTGGCTTAAGGCACATTAAAATATTTTTTTTTATTTAGCTGTCCTTTTTCACGTAAGCTTTTTTTTAATTTATGTATTAAATAATTTGCATACAATAAAAACATCATTGCAGTACAAAAACCTTAAAGCTTTATCTGTGCTGCAGAGTCACTCCACAGTCATTATCACTAGATTGAGATACTTATTACGCTAACAAGTTTTAGAAAACGATCTCACGTTATTGACTAATGTTTATGGAGTCCGTAAAAAGTGGATATTCATCATTCTGTTGTGAATTTCAGTAAAAATAATCAAATCAAAAACTCCATTATCAAGTTGGCCCAAAAACGTTTCTCTGGACAATATGGCGTCTTACTAGTGTGTGACGTCACACGACTGTTATTGAAACATCAAATGATACAATGTAATGTCACTTTAACCAGAAGTTTACTTGCATGTGACGTCGTTTTAGGCTCAGCCAATCCCTAGCATTTTGGGTCATGTGACAAAAGGAAAGAAAACTTTTATCTTTTTCGTAGGTTTTTAGTAAAATTATGTATATTTTTTTGGAAAAATAGTAAAAACCCCTGCCAATATTCATTCTAAATACAGATGCTAACAATTTGCACTTTATTTTTAATACTGTCAAATACCCTATTATTTAAGGAAGTTAAAACCTAATATCAGACAATCAGTCACAAAAGACTACATCAAAACTCAGTCCACCTCATCCAAACCGCGGACTAAACAAAGTTACTTTTGATTTAAACCTAATGTCTCTGTCTTCTTTTTAGAAAACAAAAATGATAGCTTCAGTCTTGGTTTATCTTTAGTTGTTATAAGATATATTGATAAGTATCCAGACATGGGTGTTCCGTTGTTTACTAGGTTTCGATTTTGTTTCTGTGACAAATCAGTACCCCTAGCACGAACCATTATCGAATTCGCACAGTTTGCAAACCGAAATGTCAATGTCAAATTTTGCATGTAAACTTGCACAGCAGCGGCACAAAGTACGTAATGAGAACTAAAAATCAGTACACATTTGACAATGACATTTCGGACTCGCAAACGATACGAAATCGATATTGGTTCGTGCTAGGGGTACTGTTCAGTAGTTTTTGCGTGATTAAGTAACAAACGTACAAACTTTCACATTTATAATAATATTAGTAACAGTGAAGCTTACATCTTCTTGCTTCTTGGTTGCAGACCGTCTTCCTGTCAAGAATGCGTTTTACACCACCACCTCTGAAACAACTAGGAATGGAAACCCAAGTGCTCCAGAAGAACAGGCTATTCCAGTGTCAAACATCAGTGCTGAAAGTAAGTGTAACTTTAAGGGCGTGTTTTGATAACCCGCGCTGATCACACAGATGCCATGTTTATTGGAACGAACTTCCTTTTCGGGCTGTATGGCGAATGAGGCCTAGGCAAAAACAGTCACAAACTAGCCAGGCAACTAGCCAGGCAACTTTTTTTTTGTAACGCAGGCAAAACCTCTGTTTACAGACGACGGCGCACCGCCGGACGGACCTCACATCCTGCACCCGTAAATGTCACGGGCTTGATGGGGCTAACCCCCATAGTAACTCACGCCATTTACGAGCTCGCTTAACGGTGAACTATCCGCTAAAAACCCTGCGAATACCCTCTGAGCTGCTTAGTGCGAAGCCGCTGGATCCCCGTTTAGGGATTCTTCCGTGTTTCCGCACCCAGCAGCCTCCCGGCCTAGCCGGGGCTCCACGGCAGGGGTCTCCCGGGGGACCGCGCAGACGTGCGCAGGATGGCCTGCGCGTGGGGGCTAAATATGCGGCCTAGTGCCCACCGTACCGCCCCCCGTCCGCTGCGTAGCTCCATTCGCCGCCCCCATCTTTGCAGGACAGAACTACAAGAGGAGGGCAACTAGCCATGCAACAAGCTAAACAACTAGCCAGGCAACTAACTAGGCTACTAGCCAGGCAATTAACTAGGCTAGCAGCCAGGCAATTAGCCAGGCGACTATCCAGGTAACTAGCCAGGCAACTAGCTAAACAACTAGCCAGGCACCTAGTTAGGCAACTAGCCAGGCGACTATCCAGGCAACTAGCCAGGCGACTAGCTAGGCTAGTAGCCAGGTGACTATCCTGGAAACTAGCCGGGCGACTAGCTTAACAACTAGCTGGGCAACTAGCCAGGCAACTACCTTGGCTACTAGCCAGGCAACTAGCTAAACAACTAGCTAGGCAACTAGCTAGGCAAGTAGCCAGGCAACTATCCAGGTAACTAGCCAGGCAACTAGCTAAACAACTAGCCAGGCACCTAGTTAGGCAACTAGCCAGGCGACAATCCAGGCAACTAGCCAGGCGACTAGCTAGGCTAGTAGCCAGGTGACTATCCTGGAAACTAGCCGGGCGACTAGCTTAACAACTAGCTGGGCAACTAGCCAGGCAACTACCTTGGCTACTAGCCAGGCAACTAGCTAAACAACTAGCTAGGCAACTAGCTAGGCAAGTAGCCAGGCAACTAGCCTGGCAACTAGCTAAACAACTAGCTAGGCAACTAGACAGGCAACTAGCCAAGCAATTAGCTAAAGTACTAGCTTGGTAACTAGCCAGCCAGGCAACTAGCTAAACAACTAACCAGGCAACTAACTAGGCTACTAGCCAGGCAACTAGCTAAACAGTTGTTAGCTAGGCAAGTAGCCTGGCAACTACCTAGGCAACTAGCCAGGCAACTAGCTATCTTACCTTACCGTCCTGTATAAAAGCTACCTCACGCCTCTTCAAAGACCCTGGGTGGTGGGAAAGGAGGGAATACGGGGAAATAAAGAATTACAATTGCAAATAGGTCGTTTACAATACAATTGCAAAATATATGACGAATAATCGTAAATTTATAGCAAAAAATATAAGGACCTCGATGACGCAAATGGTCAGCGCGTTCGGCTGTGATCGTTGAAATTAAGCAACATTCGCAGTGGTCGGTCATTGGATGAGTGACCAAAATTGTAATGTTTCGAACTTCTCCGTGCTTCGGAAGACACGTTAAGCCGTTGGTCCCGGCTGCCCAATCTCCCTATTCCATCCATAGGTAATAAGAACTCCCCCCCCCCACTCAAGGCCAGGCTTTCGCCTGGGATGCCCTTGAATTTAGACCAGCGCATGTAGTATGAATGAAAAAAGAAAGGTATGTTTTGGAAATACCACTCTTCTCGCCGTATCACTCGCCGTGGTATAAATAGTGTTTCCCAAATGCAAGAACAAGACGAGACTTAGCCAGTCTTGGTCTTGGTCTTGCGCCAATACACCTAGTCTTAGTCTTGGTCTTGTTCTTGCAGCAAGGGTCTTGCAAGTCTTGCAATTACCTATTAGACTATTGCTTCATTAAAATTTACTTTAGATCTTAAAAAAACGTATTAGAATTGGAACATTGTGAGCTTGAATTAACATAGCCGTAGTAAAGACCAATCAGATTAATAAATGTCTGAAGATTTGATAAGAAATTCGAAAAATCAACTGCCACATGGTTATCAATTGAGCTATATACCGTTTTCCATAAGTAGGTGGGTACGCTTTTTATATTATTTTATTAGTTTTGCAGATTTTTTTACACGTTTCAAGTATATTTAAAAGTGGCTACAATATTTATCAAACGGGTGATATTTGACCACTTTTTTGCTATTTTTTCTTGTAAAAACTTTCGAAATTTAAGAAATATTTTGACTAAATGTACAATAATAGTACCTAAGTAATTAGTTTAAACCCATATCATCAATATTATATTATATTCTTACTAAAATAAATTATTATGACATCTACTACCTATCCTTACCATTATCTAATCATAATACTACTTGCGTGATCAGTATAATGTATTCGTTTCCATTCTAAGCACTCTGAAACATTTATCCTTTGGAACACCTGTACTCTAAAATTCGATAATCGAAGTTCGTGTCGTACCGTTTCGCTCGCTCATACATTAAATAGTATTAGCCTGAGTGAGACGGCACGACACGAAATTAGAATTTTGCATGAGTATACCTAGGCCCTGTGGCGGCAATCAAATAGTGTCAAATGTTGTGATTTCGGCGCGGCGGCAACGATTGTTGTATGTGATTTCAATAGAAGCCGCCGGCGCGTGTAACATCACCATGTCACGGTAATAATATCATACAGTATTCTATCTTCATACAAACGGTCGGAAAGCAAGTCATACCTACGCCACTCGAGTTCGATGTGCGCTCGGCGGGCACCCAGTCGCGAATGCGCCGCCGCACCGCGACGAGACGACCGAACGGTCTGAATTGTTTTTTATGCAGTTAGCCGTGCTTAAACTTGCGTTTTGTATCGTAAATATTTGATTTAATTAAGTAGATACCTACATAATTTAGTATGGAAAAGAACAAACGACGATCAATATCGTACAACAGCACAATTGCTGTTTTTGGTTGCTTGAACTCTTCAATAACACACCCAGAGATATCATTTTTTAAATTACCTGAAATATTGGAAAGGTGTCTTACCTTTACAGAATATTTTCTATATACCTATCTACTAGTACGTAATTTGTTCCTAATATTTAGGTTTTTCCATCGGGCAAAATGTCTGGAATAATTTATAAATAAGTGGTTAGGATGAAAAAAAGAGACAAACGAATAATCTACCTACACTTTAAAACAAAACTACATAAAATACTGTAGGCGGGCGGCCCTACCGCGTGCTAGCGCAGCGCTCGGTCGTAGGCATTTATTTTCAAGGACAGGGCGGAGTCACAATACTGTATAGATAATATTACCGTGACCATGTACTTCCGAAAAGCGGCAAATTTCTTTGAGAAGTCAGAACAAAACCTTTGATGCCGCATTATCAAAGTGCCGATGGTTAAAACAAAACTATGCATGCACTCTGTTTGATTTCAATGGATATTTTTTTATTCGCTATGTATGTTTATGGTATTGGTCGTAATGCGAATAGGTCCAGTTTTTCATATTCTTTGATACAGTTTTTTGCGTCTCATAGAATTCCTAAGCGTACTTATACACCGAACTGTTATACCTAACTACTCCGTGAAATAGCGCTAAGTTCTAGCTGCAAGACGCAAGAGTCTTGCCGGATTAGTCTTGTTCTTGCTCAAGTCTTGCACGGTCAGTCTTGGTCTTGGTCTTGCTAATAATACGCGGTCTTGTTCTTGGTCTTGGTCTTGCAAAAATGCAAGAACAAGACCAAGACTGCAAGACCAAAACTGAATTTGGGCAACACTAGGTATAAACGATAGAACACGTTTATTTTGATGAAGCCACATCATCGCCCATTTACCTATTTTTATGTTGAAATGGTGGCAAATAATGGTATTGCCCCGATGGTAAGCGGCCACCATAGCCTTTATACGCTTCCGATACCAAAAATATCACTCGCGCAGTTGCCTACCCTAATTCTCTACTCCATGGAGCTCTCAAACCTTATTCACCGACAGAAATACATCACCATCAAAAAGAAGTGTTATTTTTACTGTGATCTTCTTCTTCTGTGATATTGCAGAGTTAATTCCCAAGGCGGGCGCTCCAATTCGAGCTGCCAATTCGCTATGTCCTACATCTCTTAGTTTACTTACCTTCCCCTGCCTTTTCGCAAATAAGTGGTGTTCTTTCTGTGTGCTTCTATCTATATTGTGAGACCATCTGTTGATATGTGCCTTGATTGAGGCTGCATGTATTATGATCCTAAGATGGTGAAGGTTTCTCTCAACAACTCTAAAAAAATTAAATTTTCAATGAAACTATTAAATGTCTTTCTAGAATCGGTGCCAAATATTGAAGACGATCCAGCACATAACCTTGAGCCCAGAGTTGGCTTAACGGATACTGCTGACATACGAAGCAAGCGCGTGGCTGCCAAGAAGTCGATTTTGAAACTGGGAGCATGCATTCATCTGGGAGTCCCTATGAGGAATGTAAGTATTATGTAGTACTAGCTGTGCCCCACGGTGATACCGCGGTTTATTACGGTTATTTTCCCGCAGTAAAACGTAGTCTATGTGTTAATCCAGGGTGTCAGCTAACTCCATACCAAATTTTATTAAAATCGCTCCAGCCGTTTAGACGTGAAGAAGTAACAAACGTACACACTCACAAACTTTCGCCTTTATGATATTAGTGTATATATAATATATAATGTATATATAATATTTTCTTGAGTATTTATTCAAATTACACCTTATAAGGTAGGATATTTTAGGATTTACTCCAATGGTTCACGTAACATCCCTTTTCAATGTCTGATTTTTTGATCGATCAGAAAGATCACGGAAAGATATTAATCTACCGGTTTGCATGGTGTGAGGGTAGCCGTACGAAGGGATAGAAAAAAGAAAAACAATAAGTATTCGAGTGCGTCGGACATTGAGAAGGGAAATGATAGTAAGTTGAACCCTTTAAGAAGTAGCTCCTATTTAAAAGACTGACCATTTGGAAGCGACCAAATGTCATGGCTGATTGTTGAAAAAATTTTTTGCTACCCAAGGCGGTCGACCCTAAATAAAAAGCTCAGGTATGGTGGGAATGAAATGAAATTATACTTTATTGAAATTTACTTATTGAAAGCTTTTTTCAATCGTCCAATATTTTTTCTTACTACCCATTCAGTACATCACAAGGTGCAACATTGGCCCCCCAGTTGATTGTGCTTCCGCTGACTCTATTCAGAGACATTATAAAAATTATCTTAATATTTTAGTTATGTTTTTATAACATTTGTCTATTTTGCTTTCGTGTTGTAAACCGTTAACACCCATCAACCCGCACTGTGCTCGTGGGGGTGGGTCATAGCTCAATCTCCCTATTCCATCTACCCTGTAGGCCTGCACCTCACCCCCTTTTGTAATTCTGTCTTACGAGAGGGAGCGGCGGGAGGACCAGCGATGGGCACGCCCAGGCAGTTCCCCGCAGCGGACGGGAAGTGGTGTGGTGGGCACTAGACCGCACACTAGCTCCCAGCGCGGGCCTACCCGCGCAAGTCTGCGGGGTCCCCACGATACCTCGGGAGACCTCTGCCGTAGCCCCGGCTAGGCCGGGAGGCTGCTGGGTGCTGAAACGCGGAAGAATCCCTAAACGGGGATCCCGTGGCTTCGCACTAAGCAGCTTAAAGGGTATTCGCAGGGTATTTTAGCGAATGCCGTAAAGCACCCGTAAGAGTTACGGGGTCCTCAGTGGGCATCCACTGCGGGGGCCCGTAAAGCTTGCGGGAGCCAGGTGTGAGGTCCGTTCAGCTGTGTGCCTCTTAAAGGCGCCGTCGTCTGTAAACAGAGGTTTTGCCTGCGTTAACAAAAAAAAAGGCATGCGCCCAACTGTGGGGACATCAATTGGCTGATGATGATGATATTTAGTCAGGATTTTACATTTTAATAGCAACACCGTATAATGTAAGGGTTTAATTTCAGTTCTCGTCTGTCCAAAATCCATGTGCGTCCCGCGAGCCGAAGACCAAGAAGACGGCGGAGGCGAAATCCCCACCGTCCGGTTCTTCCCTTGGAGGCGCGGGAGTCCCTCCCAAGTCGAGCTCCGGCGGCGCTCAGGGCAAAATCATAGCTGGTATTGAATTCACTCGACGATACACTGAAAACAGAGAAATCGCGAAAGATTGTGCTGTCAATAGCACAAAACAGTACCCTTAGTACGAGTTTACGCTCACGAAAACTATCATAGTTTTCGTAATTGTAAATTATGTTTCTATATCCATTTTGGTGAAAAGTAACCAAATATACTTAAAATTTAAGAAGACACAAATGATTTAATTATAGAATCTAAACACCGTTTATTTCTATTGAAACATAAACAATAAAATCAACGAGTGGCAAGCTCACGAAAACAATCATAGTTTTCGTAATTATAAAACTCGTACTAAGGGTACAGAAAGAGGTTAGAAGCGTGATCGTTGACCGTTTGTACGGGAACCGATGTCGCCGGCTCGGTCCCTCTACGCTTCCATCTAATAGACAATAGCCAATCAAACGACGCGACATCAAACAATCGAACCAATCAACGGTCGCACCCGGGAGCAACGACGCAATAGCGATGATGAGTAATTGTTTTTCTTCGTTTATCAGGTAAATTATCAAAAAACATTGCAGTGATATATTGATTTGAAAAGTCGCATGACGTCACGTTTTGGTACAATTTTCACTTAAAAGTGACGTCGCGAGCCCCTACTCCCAAACTTTGACGCGCTATAACTTTGTCATTTTTTGGTTGATTGCCCAAAGAAAAAATACGTGTCCATTATTTTTTGATCATCTAACTGATGGACTAAATAGAATTTCTTTTACTGTACCCCGTCATCACCCCTATTAGAACCAAGATTTGGTCAAGTTATGAGGCATTTGCTTACTCATAACTGTGGCGCGCCTGATCCGCGCACAAGGCCCCTCTGACCTCTTTTTGTGTTCTGTGGTCAGTACCTATAAGTACAAACTATTGATGCCACTATTGCTTCATCTCTCTTAATCGTAAGTTTAGAACTCACGGTGTGGTTTTCTGCCATAATAAGAGAGACAGATGAACTTCTTAGCAATCCATGGATTCACCGTGCGGGTGCCGCGTCCATCTTTTTTTTCTCTTTAATGGGGTAAACAAACAATGATACAATCTTGTTACATTATAAACTAATACTATCAGTGTACTAATTGCATCATCCACTACATTTACCACAGAGTTTCTAACAGTACTTAGCATTGGGAGACTGTATACATTTAACTTAAAGGAGATTGCTCAGCTTCCATACATGTTTGGCCTAAAAACCAATAACCATGAAAAATTGTTTCCTACATTCGAAATTATATATAAATTACCGTAGAAACGAATATTATCGACGGCCACTCCTGAGAACTTCTATAAAGCATATACACTGAATGATTTTGAGGTTATGTTTGCCAATAGGCACATAGGTATTAGAATAATAAAAACCAAATAACTTATATAGGAAAATAGGGCAATCAAGCCAAGTACCGATATTATGTATTAGATTCAGGTATATAGAGCATGTAAAATAACAGATATGTGCATGTTTTTAAAAACACGAACAGAAACTGTGTGATGATTGTGAATGAGCCACAGATTAGAGAGAATTTTTAAACTCTCGTTAATCAAAGAAAGCTAAGAGCTGTAGGTTATACAGCCATATCTTCAGCAGCTTCATTATTTTTGTTATGTTTTTATTATAATCATATTTTAGATTTTTAGTGTATCACACCTTATAATGTGTTTAGTTAGGTGTTTGGCAAAAAATGTACGGCAATAGACTTTGTGTCGCCTACCATCTATATTAATTGTCTTAGCACATTTGCATGTAGTAAAAATGATAATAAAGTTGTGGATATTAATACCACCCGTGTAATAAAAAAAAAATATATTTTATCAATCTTTACAAAATAGATTTGTTTTGATGTTATATAAACAACCTCGATCAGTCTTTGTGAATGTTACTACACCCATAGCCAATAAAAATGATTCGTATGTTTTCCAAACCGGTAAAAATAGAAGTCCTTTTTTAAAATTAATATATTATTTAAAGGTGGCCGTTAAAATCTAATGACTGTAAAATAAAGTATAAATTACGCCAAGAATTACTGTATATGTCAATATTTTATTTGCATTTAGGCCAATTTGACCAATCTCCTTTACTATTAATTTACTTTATTTGCCTATTATACTTAAATATGTAAATACATATTTTATAATACAATTTCTGATTTTTTTATTTAAAAGTTTGAAGTAGGTACTTTTCTTTTAAACGAAGTAACAGGGATCGCAAAAATGACAATTTCATTAAATTTGCCGTTGTAAGTCTGGGCAAGCCGATACAAGGGGGGGTCTTGTGGGAGATAGAGAAACTATGAGCAGTTCCCGGGACTTGTGACCCAAGTGTAGGTTTAAGGAGGCTCCCTTTAATATGCGCATCAACGGTCACCTTCACTGCTCGAGTTGCCCGCCCTTCTTAGCCAAATTTGATAGGAGACTGTTAATGCCTTATTTTTTAGCCTTTAACTTATGACACTATATAGATTTATGACAATTTCAGTGATTGGCGCAGTAGTAGATGTGCAGTTTGAAAAGAACTTACCTCCAATATTGAACGCCCTCGAAGTGCCAGGAAGAAGTAAGGCTATTTTTATAATTATCATCAATAGCCTGTTAAGATTCCTACAGCTAGAACACAACACACTTCTTTTCTAAAATAACCTAACATTAGGCAGTGAATAAGGCATAGGGGAATGGAGTAGCGCACGCATCACTCATATTTATATATATACTAGCTGACCCAGCGAACTTCGTACCACCATAAAAATAGGGGCTGGTGAAAATTTAGGGTTGTATGTATTTTTTTAATGCCACATTCATCATTATCATCAGCCTATTAATGTCCCCACTGCTGGGGCACAGGCCTTCCCTATGGATGGAATAGGGAGATTGGGCCAAGACCCACCACGCGGGCCCAGTGCTAATTGGTGGGTGCTAACGACTGCAGATGCAGCCGGGACCAACGGCTTAACGTGCCTTCCGAAGCACGGAGGAGCTCGAGATAGTAATTTTTGGTCACCCATCCAATGACCGACCACTGCGAAAGTTGCTTAAGTTCAACGATCGCAGCCGAACGCGCTAACCACTTGGGCCATCGAGCACCACATTATGAAGAGTTTTATTGACTAAAAACACACCCATGGGGGGACGCCTATGGTCTTAAGGGGCTTACAGCCTTCATCTGTCTGATGCGATCATCCTTTGAATTATAATCATAACTACTGCATAGTGTCTTAGGCCCGTATTATAAGAAGATTCTCAGTGATTGATCTAGTCTTGGGCATAGTTAGAAAGGGATGTCGCTATTATACCACATAGCGATATCCCTTTCTAACTGTACTCAAGTAAAGATCAACACTTAGTTGTCAATCTGTAATACGGGCCTTAGAGGCCGAATGCACTCTGATGTCCACCCGTATTGGATAGAGACTGAGCGACTACAGGCCTCTCAAGATCGGGGACCGGCGCACCCATGCAATGTATGATTATAGGATGGACTAGATGCATGGCATTAATCCAGTTAGTCCATCCTATAATCCTGTTACATCCATATGATAGAGCATGTCACAAAAATTCAGTGACATTTATTGACGCTAGGCATGTTGAAAATATATCGATGTATCGCTATATCGATATTTTTAACCGATATATTTTGATTCGATATATCGATAAATCAATACAAAATAACCATTTTCAAAATTCGTATCAAAAACGATATTTTTTAAATTATTAGCGGCATATCACGTGCTGAATTCCATTATATTCTGTGGAAGTGTGTGACTGTCTAGTCTTGTTTACGAAAGATGACACCTGAGAGGTCCTGCAATCATTTTCATCATTCGAAAATAGAGTATTTTTAGGGAGATAATTTTCGTTCCATTATTATTCCGCATGTAATCTTTCGTGAGATACTGTACTGTCATGTAGTGTAGCGGCAATTTGGTACTTTAATAATTCTTTCTTTAATTATAATTTGTATTGTTATTATTACTGTGCTAGGCTAGACCTAAATATATTTTTGGGAAAATTGGTCCGATATATCGATGTTTTTTTCACGATATATCGAAGCCGATATTGATATTTTTTCAAATATCGATGTATCGATATATCTATATTTTTTTCAACTTTCGACATCCCTAATTGACGCGCGGAGTAACCAGTCATCCAGTGGAGCGAGAGTACATGTGGAAACCATCGCGATGGCCTGTATCAAAAGTTTGGTGCGCGGCTAGCCCATCCATCGTGAACTCCGGTGTGCTTATGCATCTAGTATAGCCTATTGCATTCATATTATAGCGTGTGTCACAAGAAAACAGCGCCATCTATTGACGCGCGGAGTAACCAGTCATCTTTACCACTAGCTCCGCGCCTGATCCTGGAAGTAGCCCAGCACTTGGGCGAGAGTACGTGTAGAACTATCGCGATGGACGGCACCGAAGGTCTGGTGCGTGGCCAGCCCATTGTAGACACCGGGGCGCCTATCACCATTCCAGTGGGGGAGCCAACACTGGGCAGGATCATCAACGTCATCGGAGAACCTATAGGTGAGTGATCCGGACGCGATTCACGCGTTTAGTGCTTCCTTACGCGATTCGTGCGTTAAGTGCTTCCTTACGCGATTCATGCGTTAAGTGCTCCCTTACTCGATTCACGCGTTTAGTGCTTCCTTACGCGATTCATGCGTTAAGTGCTTCCTTACGCGATTCATGCGTTAAGTGCTCCCTTACTCGATTCACGCGTTTAGTGCTTCCTTACGCGATTCATGCGTTAAGTACTTCCTTACGCGATTCATGCGTTAAGTGCTTCCTTACTCGATTCACGCGTTTAGTGCTTCCTTACGCGATTCATGCGTTAAGTACTTCCTTACACGATTCATGCGTTAAGTACTTCCTTACGCGATTCATGCGTTAAGTGCTTCCTTACTCGATTCACGCTTTAGTGCTTCCTTACGCGATTCATGCGTTAAGTACTTCCTTACGCGATTCATGCGTTAAGTGCTTTCTTACGCGATTCTTGCGTTTAGTGCTTCCTTACTCGATTCATGCGTTTAGTGCTACCTTACTCGATTCACGCGTTTAGTGCTTACTTACGCGATTCACGCGTTAAGTGCTTCCTTACGCGATTCACGCATTAAGTGCTTCCTTACACGATCATAGGGCTGAGTAAAAGCAGGCCTTTCAGAACATGGATCTATTAACATTAAAACACGAGAGAATCGCGCGAGTTTACGCGTAATCTGAACAGGCACTAATGAGAAGAAATGACTGGATTCCACCAGCACTTAAGGTGGGGTCACCTTAAGTGCTGGTGGAATCCAGACGCGAAGTTAGCTTGTGCAGCAGCTTTACCAGCTACACCAGCCATATTCTCCCTGACAGCCAGTGCTTTGTGATAGTAATATTACGGATTCGTGTACTTCTCGCGAGTTAACTGTAACTTAAGTAACGTTAATTGTATATTTATTTTCATAATTTATGATGCGAGTCTGCAAAGTGCTTCTTTAGGCTTCTTTTAAAAGAGCCCAAGTTGTAGGGGGGAACACGTGAACTATCCATTTTAAATTTATTTATTAACATAAACAAGATTACCAACTCATTATAAAGTATTTTACAAATAATATGGAATCAAACCAAGTGCAATCTTAACTTTATTATAGACTAGTGGCCCGCCCTCGCTTCGCTTCGTTGTAAAGCTGTAGTGTAGACTATAGATTTTGTTCTCAGGCATGTATTGTACACATTGAATTTATTTATTTGATTCTTTTTTTATGATTCTTTTTTTATTGAATAGGTAATAATTTTAACTTTTTTTAATAAGGGATGAGTGAGAGTATTATAAACGTAAGAGTAAACAAATATTATCAGAATGCTCCGAACTGCTAAGCTATCAGGAGTTACACGTATTATTGTGAGTAAACCATAAAAGATAGACATATGCTGTTGCAGGATATTTTTTAGACAATTTTATGTAGAATATTTCTGTCATACATCATTTCTATGTAACTTTAACCATTAAGGCTGCGCACGCGACGGAAGCTTAAAAAATGGAGTAACTTCTCCCGTTTTCCCAACATTTCCCTTCACTACTCTGCTCCTATTGATTGTAGCGTGATGAAAAGTATACTATAACCTGCCCAGGAGTATGAAGAATAATTGCACCAAGTTTCGTTAAAATCCGTCGAGTAGTTTTTGTTTCTATAAGGAACATACACACAGACAGACAGACAAAAATTTTACTGATTGCATTTTTGGCATCAGTATCGATCACTAATCACCCCCTGATAGTTATTTTGAAAATATATTTCATGTACAGAATTGACCTCTCTACAGATTTATTATAAGTATAGATGTTATACAATAGCACTGTTAAGCAAAAATATCAAAGAACAAAATCACACAATGTAAAAATCTTGGATTGTGAAATAATTAGTAGTAAATTAAAAAAAAATCTGAGATTAAAAACATTACATTAGAATTAAAAAAATATTCGGTTAAATGACAGAAAATATAGATAACAGTACCCCAAACACGAACCATTATCGAATTCGAATAGTTTGCAAACCGAAATGTCAATGTCAAATTTTGTATGGAAACTTGAACAGCAGCGGCACAAAGTACGTTACGAGAACTAAAAATCAGTACACATTTGACAATGACATTTCGGACTCGCAAACGATACGAATTCGATATTGGTTCGTGCTAGGGGTACAGGCCAGCGTGTAGAATCTGTCTCGGTAAATATAGCCTCACTTTAGGCGTGAGATCTTATTTAAAATAAGTTCGGGAAATACAATACGAAGTAACTTGCTGGCCAATTACTGGTAAATATATTTTATTTTGTGGGTAATAAGGTTGATTTTACATTTTCCTTTTTTCACCTTTGTTGCTTATTCCAAGTATCAGATATAGTTTATAAAAGGAACAAGGGTTCGTTTTATTACAGCGTTAGATTTAAAGCAAGCAGTCCATGTTTTGTAATAAGTTGGATAAAGTTGATTTTTTCTTATTTTTTTTTATATTATTGGGAGCATAGACCGTCCCCATAGACATCTACAACACCAGTACCCTTAGAACGAGTTCGAGCTCACGAAAACTATCATAGTTTTCGTAATTGTAAATTATGTGTGGTGAAAAGTAACTTAATAAATATACTTAAAATTTAAGAAGACGCAAATGATTTAATGAAAGGATTTAAACACTGTTTATTTGTATTGAAACGAAAACAATAAAGTCCGTATAAGTACGAGTGCGAGCTCAAGAAAACTATCATAGTTTTCGTAATTGTAAAACTCGTACTAAGGGTAAAGGAGTATTACAATGCGATGCCGGCCTTTAAGGAAGGAGTACGATCTTTTTTTGAGAATTTTCAGGTCGTATTGGACCTGAAACACTGCTGGCGACGATATACTCCAGAGTTTTGTTTTACAGACGTACATATCTTTCGGTTATACAGACGAGCGCGGCCCCATAAATACGGACAAGTTCGCCCCCATACACGCGGACGCGCCCCCCTTCGTAGAGATGTCCGTGGAGCAGGAGATCCTCGCCACCGGCATCAAGGTGGTGGACCTGCTCGCGCCGTACGTCAAAGGTGATGTTGCTTTTGCTTCTAATTTTCTGAAATATGACTTTTCTTTTCCGAAATGCGACTTTTCTTTACCGAAATTCAATTTTTCTTTTCCTAAATGTGACTGTAGTGAGGTCAAAGTGGAAGATCTTTCTCCGAGCTGGGTGATAGTAGCTCGGGGGCGGTCCGACCGATATTGGTCGGGCATTGTATATATGGAGTGTTGGCCTCCGAATTTGACTTGCGAGATGTAGGCTTCCATACTATTGTGATCGCAGTGCAGGTAGCGCCATCTCTTGAGGAGGCGAGTGATAATACGTAGGGTATTTAGATGTCGCCGCCACATGACATTTCTTTTCCAAATTGAAATCTTTTAATTTTAACGACAGAATAATACATTGCTATAAATATCACCGTTTTCTACAGGCAATCGTCAACATTGGTTGGGCTTAAGTTGTTGTTCGAAAAAAACTCGCCAACATATTTCGATCTTAAAAAAACTATTCTGCCCGTAGGTTCATTTCTGACTTTTACGTTATATGAATATGGCTAAATTTAAAAGTGCTGTGATTTATACTGAAATTGTATTTATTTATACTATAACTGTCTTCTTTTAGGTGGCAAAATCGGCTTATTTGGCGGCGCTGGAGTCGGCAAGACAGTACTTATAATGGAGCTCATTAACAATGTGGCTAAAGCACATGGAGGTTTCTCAGTAAGTATTATTATTATTACTGACCTCCATTGTAATCATAATATGGTCTGCAAGATGTCGCCTGGTGACAGACTAAATTACTGGTAATTTATCTTTCGCTCTCAGATTGAAACCCCCAACACAAAATACATACAACAAGTTACTTTACTTCCGAATGTTAGGAACAACTAGAACGACTTAAAACAAATTATTGAATTTCCAAACATGGGAGGCTACCATAAAAAAACTTAGTTTTGCCTAGTAGCTTCAAATTTTGTTTTTTTTTTATAAAGAAAACACTGGAACAAAATAGAACAAACACAGAACGATACAGAACAACCTGGATAATAATAAAATACAAAAAATGGGGGGCTAACTTCACAGAGGTGGATTATTCTTACCAGTCATTGGCCAGCGAGTTACTTCGTATTGTATTTAACCGAACTAATTTAAAATAAGATCTCACGCCTCAAGTGAGGCTATATTTACCGAGACAGATTTTACACGCTGACCTGTTATCTATAGAATTATTAACGACCTCCGTAGGCGAGTGGTTTGTACGCCGGGTTTCATGGTGTCGCCAACTCGAGAGGTCCCGGGTTCAAATCCCGGTGGGAGCAGATGTTTGTGTGATGAATATGAGCATTTGTGCTCCAGTCATGGATGTTAAATATGTATTTCTATATAAATATACTTATATATGTACAGTATATGTATTCTACCCGTTACCCTAGTATCCCATAACACAAGCCTTACAGTGCTTACTTTGGCGCTAGGCTAATTGGTGTGAGTGTTGAAAATATTAATTTATTTTATTTTATTGTGATAATACACAGGTGTTTGCCGGAGTGGGAGAGCGTACAAGGGAAGGCAATGATCTCTACAACGAAATGAAAGTGGGCGGAGTCATCACGGACGATTATAAAACATCGAAGGTAAGGACAGGATATTTATACCTAAAAATAATTTATTTTTTCACAAAAGATGATTACATTGCTTACTATACTATCACTTAGGTATAACACAGTTATGACGTAACATTATAGCAGCTGGTACTTAAAAAATAATAGTCTGCGCTTTAAGTACCAGCCTCTTTTCAAATTCAATTCATATTGATTCTACATGCGCCTTTTCTTCCGATTTGGTTATACAAAAACCAAACAAGAGAATGAATTCTGCATTATTAATCATTTAAACGGTTCCGTACCTCAAAAGGAAACCTGTTTGCCAGTACCGAAAATTATGAATTTGGGCTCATTCGATTCGGAATGGCATCTAGAACGTTCTATCAAAATTCCAAGAGGGGCTGAAAAAAATGCAAAAGTTATCACTACATAGTATAAAACAAAGTCGCTTTCTCTGTCCCTATGTCCCTTTGTATGCTTAAATCTTTGAAACTACGCAACGGATTTTGATGCGGTTTTTTTTAATAGATAGAGTGATTCAAAAGGAAGGTTTATATGTATAATACATGCATAATATAGTAGAGAAACACTGATAATTTTAGAGGCTTTTAATATAAGGTCGTAAATAAACACATTTTTTTGCGCTTACATTGCAAAGGCTGGCTGAACCCAACGAGATAGATCAAAATAATGTACTACAGTATTGTACACCTTAAAAAGGTCTACAAAAAAGTCCGAGATGGTATATGCCTATCTCTTTGGTATAACCCACAATAACCATTTTTTAATTACTTATTACGAGAAAATAATGGCTTATTTACGAACAAGCGATTTTAAGCAATACAGCATTAATCCTTATCCAATTAAGTACCTTAAATACATTGTGCGTGTAATATAGATCAATATAACCCTCTACAGCATGTAATTTAAATGAATATTTTCGAAGATATTACAGATTTAAAATGCAGGAACATACCGGTTCGGGCAGTACTGGCCGGGGGGCCGGCGGCGGCGCGTGTCTTTAGTAATTAGGTATTTAAAGAAAGTCATTGTGTTTAATAGAAACCTGAGAACAAAAATATAATCTAAACTGCAGCTCTACACCGAAGCGAAGCGAGGGCGGGCCACTAGTAAACAATAAAGTAAAATAAAAAATAAGGGTTTGGTTTTTTGAAATATTTCAAAAACTATTTGAGATAATCAAAATTTGAAAAAGGATAAAGAGCAGGAAATTTCCTAAAAAAACCTCCCGGAACTGTACCAATAACCCTTATAATTTTAATTAAGCGGCGAAAATAACGGTGAAAACGCGTGGTTCGGCTGCCGCGCACATCGCTGCAATCTGACACATGAACTAAATACTTTAACAGATTAAATATTAATATTAAGGAATAAAAAAAATTGGTACTAAATACAGTATGAATAAACAATCATCCGTAAAAAAGTTTTTTTATCACAATTTTTTAGTTTATCGCATGTTTTTTCAGCCCCTCTTGGAAATTTTGATAGAACGTTCTAGATGCCATTTCGAATCGAATGAGCGCAAAATCATAATTTTCGGTGCTGGCGAACAGGATTCGAGGGAAATGGCACTTGTGAACCAGACTATATATGAAATACCTACTCCAGATCTACTGTTCCTTGGAGGTGTGAAGAAAAACAAACTTCTAAGCCAATGCAATCAAAAGATACAGCCGTTTATGCCGCAAGTTTTCGCAACTCGCAACGGAATCAAAACCTACAGGGTACTTTCCGTGAACTCAGAATCTTGAAATTTGGTACGAAGCAACGTCTTATAGCACAGATAACGGAAAAATTGCGAAAACCGTAAATTTATAGTTACATCACATATTTTTTTCAGTAATTATTATATACCTACAGGTTTTTACGGAACCCTCGGTGCGCGAGTCCTACTCGCATTTAGCCGGCTTTCATTATAGAAAACAATATTTTGCACTATACTATCACTGCGGCAAGCTGTTGTAGAATGAGGTGAAAAAACGCAGCCGCCACGACAACGGCTTACTAGAGCCGAGATCCGAGTCTCAGAGACGCCCTCTAGTTGAGCCGATCCCCTCAGGTTCTAGTGGTTTAGAGGCTCCAGACGGAGAGGAGACTCCCCCCGTGGGGTGATGCCATCCGCCTGGAATACCTCTAGAGGCACACGCCAATTCTCAGCTAGAGGTCCCCTTAGGATCTCGCTCTCCCCTCTCTCCTTTTGTTTACCCGTCACCGTCTTCCGGTCCGTATTCCAGTGTAAATATTGCTTCGGATGCCCAAATTCGAGTAATGTCTTTCGTGCACCCGTATGCGGGATAACAACCAAATGTTATTGCGCCATTAGGTATTTTTTTATATATTGGTCCGACAAATGACTCCACCCCACCTGATGTTAAGTGAAGGTGAAGTCCAGACGCGAAGATAGCTGATACAGCAGTTCTATCTGCCACACGAGCCATCCTCACCCTGCCGGCCTGCATGTTGCTTCTTCACGCCTCTTTTAAAGGATCCCAGGTTGTAAGAGGGAGGGAACACGTGAGCGGGCAGAGCATTCCATTTACGGATAGTGCGACATGAAAATGAGTCACCAAATTTCTTTGTACGCATAGTGACGGTAAAAGAGGAAAGAAATAGCCAGTGTGTCGCTTGCTAAATAAGAGCATCGTTTATTCCGATTTACATCTTACATACTAGTTTCTCTTAACTAATAGTTTATATGACACACACACACATTAATCAATAACGTTTTGTAATCATCCGGTGTCTCGAATCGAACCACTGCCTTTCATAATACAAGTCTTATCTAGCATGAAAGTCAGGGGTCCTTCTTATAAGATAGCAAACCATTCCTAGTTTATTTTAAGATGTTATTGTAGTAGTACTTGTAAGGTTTGATGATTAAACATTATTATTATTTCATTGGAAGATTTTAAACCTTTTTTGTCTATGTATGAACATTTTATTGGAAGATTTTAAACCTTTTTGTCTATGTATGTATTTTGTAAGCTAATTTAATTAATAAAGTACTTTATTTAATTCATTTTTTAAAAAAAACTAGTGGCCCGCCCTCGCTTCGCTTCGGTGTAAAGCTGTAGTGTAGACTATAGTTTTTGTTCTCAGGCTTGTATTATACACATATTATACACAATGACATTCTTCTAATACCCAATTACAATAGGCACGCGCCGCCAAGCCCGGTAGCGTCGGAACCGCTATGTCCCTGAATTTTAAATTTGTAATATCTTCGAAAATATTCATTTAAATTATATGCGTTAAAGGGTCAAGTTGTTCTATATTAAATGCACAATGTATTTAACGTACTTAATTGGATAAGGATGAATGTTATATTGCTTAAAATCGCTTCGTAAATAATCTATTATTTCTCGTAAAAAGTATAGGATAAAAATTGGTTATTGTGGGTTATCCTTCTTTTTAAGGTGTACAATACTGTAGTACATTATTTTGATCTATCTCGTGGGGTTCAGCCAGCGTTTGCAATGTAAGCGCAAAAAATGGGTTTATTTACGACCTTACATTAAAAACCTCTAAAATTATCAGTGTTTCTCTACTATATTATGCATGTATTATACATATAAACCTTCCTCTTAAATCACTCTATCTATTAAAAAAAACCGCATCAAAATCCGTTGCGTAGTTTCAAAGATTTAAGCATACAAAGGGACATAGGGACAGAGAAAGCGACTTTGTTTTATACTATGTAGTGATAAATAAAAAATAAGTTCGAAGCGCTCCATGGCGCGGGTGGTTAGCGCTTTCAGCTACAATCGTTGAAGTTAAGCAACATTCGCGAATTTAGCGCAAGTTCCTCCGTGCTTCGGAAGGCACGTTAAGCCGCTGGTCCCGGCTGCATCTGCTGTCGTTAACACCCGCCAATCTACACTGGGCCCGCGTGTTGGGTCATGACCCAATCTCCCTATTCCATCCATAGGGAAGGCCTGTGCCCCAGCAGTGGGGATATTAATAGGTTAATGATGATGATGATGAATATTGATATGCGTCAGCTATAAATTCTTTGCTCGGTATGTTCTAGATACAAGGTACTCGCTGCAGCTACAGCACTCAATGTCAGATTGATTATAATGCGATTCAAATAAGAATAGGAAAGCCAATGACCTCTGTCTGTCAAATATCGATGGAAAAGTACAGTTTGCAAAAAAAACTTGGAACCCTTTTTTGCACTCCGCTAATTCAAGACTAAAAACCAAACATTTGTAAACAAACAATAACAAATATTGATGATTAATATCGGCTGATATTTTTTTTTCACTTATTGAGCTTTGGCCATGAATAGTTGATAACCTAAATAGTTAACTAAATGTCACTTTAAGTTGCGTTCAGAAACTTGATTTCAAACTTTCGTTTACATAAAGGATGCATGTTCGTTTGTGACATAGTAATAGTGCATGATTATTCATAACTACTCCGGCGGTAATGCAGAGATGAGCGGAATAGAAGAGCTAGATTCTGATTAATGTTTTTTCTCACAGTGGTTTTTTTTCTCAATCTTAGTAAATAAATGTTATTAAAAAATCTGATGCTTTTTCGCATTTAATCTTAGTAAATAAGTTTTATTAAATAAATACTTTTTTTTGCTCACTCTACCTATTTGGTTTGAAATGACAGCTATGACATCACAATATGGCGCCCAGTCGATCCTATTCTTAGTTGAATCGCATTATATTATCGTATTAAGTATATTCCAGGTAGCGTTAGTATACGGTCAGATGAACGAGCCCCCTGGCGCGCGCGCTCGTGTGGCGCTCACGGGGCTAACTTTAGCGGAACACTTCCGAGACAAGGAGGGACAGGATGTGCTGCTGTTCGTCGACAACATATTCAGATTCACGCAGGCGGGGTCTGAGGTATGTTATGTTATCATAATAAATAAATGTTTCTTACTCTCGCACACACAGTGGCAATGGGCAGGTCACATCGCTCGAGGATCTGACAGCCGTTGGGTAAGAAAGGTCTTCGAGTGGCGACCACGTACCGGACGACGCAGCGTGGGGCGGCCCCCAACACGGTGGACTGACGACATCGTCAAATGTACTGGGAGCCGCTGGATGCGGATAGCGCAGGACCGCGCATTGTGGCGTTCTATGGGGGAGGTCTATGTCCTGCACTGGACGGAGAAAGGCTGATGGATGGATGGATGACTCTCGCACACCAATCAGTCTTTTTTTATATCTGGCAATGGCGTTAAACCTCCCTGAACTACAGGGAGAAGCGCAAACAGTGTATCTGAAGACTCCTCTTCGCCCATTTCACCCAGGCCAATACCAAAAACCAGATAATACTCCAACATAATCCTCGATATGTGTGCCAGGAGGGCGGGTTTAGACTTGGCAATCTACAAGAGGCTGGCCAAGCACCAGTATGACCAATCAGCCTAGCCTAGCACAACGCACATACCCGTCTTGCCCAAGCAGAGAGTCCGCTCAGAACAAAAGCGTCTGTCACACACACACTCCATGCTTCGGAAGGCATGTTAAGCCGTTGGTTATGGTTAAGTCGCTAGCATCCACCAATCCTACCGCATTGCGACTGCGTAGTGGTAGTGGATAATGTCCTCTGGCCTCTCTGCTCTGGCCAAACCTGCCTGTTCGTACCATACAGTAGGGAAGGCCTGTGCCCCAGCAGTGGAGACATTAAGAGGCTGAGGTCACATAGGGGTATGGACGCCTGCAACACCGAGGTATCTATCATATGCGCAGTGCCAACCTTTAATCCCCATTATCCTTTAAGATGTAGGCCACGTTGTTTTTTCCACAGTGAAATCCTATAGAAAAAATGGTTGCCTGTAAAATCGGTTTCCGGACGATAATTTTACGTAATAACGTGTCGTTTGCTGTTCCTCGTTTCCTCGAGGCAGTTTGTGGGGCTTTGTGTTTCGGCTCGTTTGAGCCCAAGCACGCCTCTGTAGCTCAATGGGGGCCAGATTTAGGATTCTCGATCTCTGCTACAACTTGCTAGTTAAACATATTTCAACAGGTATCCGCGTTGCTGGGCCGCATACCATCAGCCGTGGGCTACCAGCCCACCTTAGCTACGGACATGGGCACCATGCAGGAGAGGATCACCACCACCAAGGCCGGCTCCATCACCAGCGTGCAGGTGAATGTGCCCACCCATCTCACGCGTGACACGCTGCTATCATGACTCGAGACGATTAATCTAAGTGAGGTCGGATTATCCTCTCGAATTTAACCAAATAACCTTACAGAACCTTGGAAATATTTATTTATTTTATTGTTTACTCTGCGATGCAAACTATTTGGCGGTTGTGAATTTAGCAGCGAGTGCTACTATGTGCATGTTTCACTTCAGTGAGTTTCCACGACTTGCACTAATTCGAAGTCTTTAAAGTACAGTATCTACTTAGGTATCAAGTAGGTGGTCAGCGCTTAAATGTATGCCTAGGTAGTGACCAGTCGTGCAGTAAGGCCCGTATTATAGAAAGATTCTCAGTGATTGATCTAGTCTTAGCGTAGTTAGAAAGGGATCTCTTCTTCTTACGTCCCTGTTCCCGTTATCTGGGGTCGGGTCTCCACACTCTACGGCACCAGGTTGATCTGTCCTGGGTTGTCTGTTTTGGCAATTGGGCTTTCTTAAGGTCTCTTTCAATGTTTTTAGTTAGAAAGGGATGTCGCTATATATAGTACATAGGGGTATCCCTTTCTAACGCTACTCAAGTAAAGATCAACACTTAGTTGTCATTCTGTAATACGGGCCTTAGACGTAGTTAGGTAGTGATTAGTCATATGAAGGGACCTTCACTAGATCATCGGTCCGAGTCGAGAAGTCTAGCCAATCCTCCAAGTGTCTTCAAGTGCGCGGTCGCCATTCGAAAATCTTTTCGCCCAAACAGTCATCAGTTCTCGTCGCTACGTGTCCTCTTATGTCCGTCTTGTGGGACCCCTACTTCAAGACCACGTTTTTCTTCCGTAGGTCATTATTGGAAGACCACAATTGAATAACACTATCTTTTGGTGGTGTTGTGTTTCTGTCCACGAGTAAGGTTCTAGGGCTCCACTCTTTCCCAGTGGGCACTTTGGGCAAGTGCCCAGGGCCCCGCGATCGATAGGGGGATTTTAGATCAAATACAAAGTCCCTAGTTCCTGTTAAATCACCAAACGGGGGTCATAGGGACCCCATTATCCTAATATGCCCAGGGCCCCCAATAGGTCAAAGACTGCACTGGAATTGCGCCAACTTCACAGCCGCTATTGACTCTTAACCAAACACGCACTATAGTTAAAGAATGAATCTCAATGTGATTTAACATCATTAGGCGGTATACGTACCAGCGGACGACCTGACAGACCCCGCTCCGGCTACCACATTCGCTCACTTGGACGCTACCACGGTCTTATCCCGGGCCATCGCCGAGCTGGGAGTGTACCCGGCTGTGGACCCTTTAGACTCTACCTCGCGCGTCATGGACCCCAACATTATAGGGGCCGAACACTACGCTGTAGCTAGAGGCGTGCAGAAAATATTACAGGTGAGAAACTGAGAGATACAGCTGACAATAACTGATGGATACAGCTGACAATGACTTATGGATACAGCTGACAATGACTGACGCTTACAGCTTACAATGACAGGGATACAGCTGACAATGACAGATATACAGCTGACAATTACTGAGGGATACAGCTGACAATATTACAGCGATCACTGAGGGATACAGGCGACAATATGGACGCCATTACGGTCTTATCCCGGGTCATCGTCGAGCTGGGAGTGTACCCGGCCGTGGACCCTTTAGACTCCACCTCGCGCGTCATGGACCCCAATATTATAGGGGCCGAACACTACGCTGTAGCTAGAGGCGTGCAGAAAATATTACAGGTGAGGAACTGAGGGAAACAGCTGACAATATTACGGGTGAGCTACAGCTGCCAACACTAGCTATCAATCGAGGATACGGCTCACAATATTAGCGCTCACTGTAAGACATAGCTGACAATACTACAGGAGAGCCTTTACTGAGGGATACATCTGATAATAATAGCGATCACTGAGGAATACAGGCGACAATAATACAGCTGTGCTACAGCTGACAAGGACTGAGGGATACAGCTGACAAAGACTGAGGATGCAGCTGACAGTGACTGAGGGATACAGCGGACAATGACTGAGGGATGCAGCTGACAGTGACTGAGGGATACAGCGGACAATGACTGAGGGATACAGCTGACAATGACAGAGATACAGCTGACAATTACTGAGGGATACAGCTGACAATATTATAGTGATCACTGAGGGATACAGGCGACAATATGGATGCCAGCAACGGTGCTGTCCCGGGCCATCGCCGAGCTGGGAGTGTACCCAGCCGTGGAACTTTTAGACTGACTCTGTAGCTAGCGGCGTGCAGAAGATATTACAGGTGAGAAATTAACTCTCTTCTGTCTGAATATATAAAATGCAACTGTTACTAACTGGTCTTTCAACTCAAAGCTCAAATTACTAAACGGATTGCGCTGAAATTTTACACACATTATAGCTATTATGATGTAGGCGTGCGCTTAAAAAGGATTTTCAAAAACTCACCCTCTAAAGGGATAAAACGGTGGTTCTAAGTTTATAAGGAGAACTAATATTTTCATGCAGACGCACGCCGTTTTTTCAGTTTGTACGCCGGGTTTCATGGTGTCGCCGACTCGTGAGGTTCCCGGGTTCGAATCCCGGTGGGGGCAGATGTTTGTGTGATGAATATGAGCATTTGTACTCCAGTCATGGATGTTTAATATGTATTTCTATATAAATATACTTATATATGTACAGTAAATGTATTCTATCCGTTACCCTAGTATCCCATAACACAAGCCTTACAGTGCTTACTTTGGGGCTAGGCTAATTGGTGTGTTGGAAATATTTATTTATTATATATTTATTTTATTTCAGGATTACAAATCGCTACAAGACATAATCGCCATCTTGGGCATGGACGAGCTCTCTGAAGACGACAAGATGACTGTGGCGCGCGCACGCAAGATACAGCGTTTCCTCTCGCAGCCATTTCAAGTAATTTATAATAAAAAAAAAATGTGTTTACTGCGATGCAAACTATTTAGCGGTTGTTAGATTAGCAGCGAGTGCTACTATGTGCATGTATCACTTCAGTAAGATTGCACGCCTTGCACTAATTTTGTCGCAAAGTACAGTACCCTTAGTACGAGTTTGAGCTCACGAAAACTATCATAGTTTTCGTAATTGTAAATTATGTTTCTATGTCCATTTTGGTGAAAAGTAACCAAATATACTTAAAATTAAAGAAGACGCAAATGATTTAATGATAGAATTTAAACACTGTTTATTTGTATTGAAACGAAAACAATAAAATCAGTACCCTTAGTACGAGTGCGAGCTCACGACAACTATCATAGTTTTCGTACTAAAGGTACAGTATCTAACCACTTAGGTACCAAGTAGATAGTCAGCGCGTATATTTTTTTCAAGTCAGTGTAATTGGAAACTTATTCTTAAGTAAACATTTTGAATTAAATAACTAATTAATAAATATGTTACTATATTAAACTTGTGAAAATACATTTAATACATAAATTAGTTAAAAAGACATCGAATTGGCGCTATCCGGATAGAGGCAGAGCGTCTCATGTTAATCGCTAAGACATCGAATTGGCGCTATCCGAAAAGGGGCAGAGCGTCTCATGTTAATCGCTAAGACATCGAATTGGCGCTATCCGGAGAGGGGCAGAGCGTTTCATGTTAATCGACCGACCAACGATATTAAATACCCTAGATACACCACGAGTGCTCAAAATGTGTCCCAGTCAAGAAGTGCTTGAACTCCACTCAAGCACTTCTTGGTTTACAGTCACGCGCGGACCGTTACAAAGGCAAGATGCCACAGAGCTCCGCGAAAAATGAGAAAATAATACTTAGAGTAGGTACTAAAAGTGTCGTTTTTCGACAGGTATCTAGTCAATGTTTGTTAATTTAACGCGTTTGAAGTAAATTTTGATCTAATACTTATTATAAACTGCTTTAATATAAAATATTTGTGATATTCAAATGCATGGTCGGTCATTCATCGTCATATAGCCGTCTCTTTTCCTCGCGGTCCGTGCCTGCTATATTGCTAACAGCGCGTTCAGAATTGCGCGTAGAGTCAAAGAACTAAGGTCTAAATTCTTCCGCATATAGCAATAAGTCGCAAAAGTTTACGAGCTTACATTTCGAACTATCAGAAGTCCTTGACGCATGCGTTTTATTTAAGACCTCATACAGTATGTATTAAAGGTTACTTTCAATATTTAAATAATGCCTTATATTGATTTTGACTACCTTACGGAGCTCCGTGGATCGTTCAATGTACCTTTTGGACAGGTTTCGGGCACGATTTTGTTCGTGTTGGTATATCTAGGGTATTTTATATCGTTGGCTAAGACATCGAATTGGCGCTATCCGGAGAAGGGCAGAGCGTCTCATGTAATCGCTATGGTTAATGATGGATCTAATTTCAATGTTAGTATGTGTCATCAAACGTACAAGGAACTGTAGTTTTAAACTTTTAATATGCAAAAATGTAGATAGTAAGCTTATCTACATATTGAACTTTAGACTCTTAGTTTCAAAAAATATTTTAAATCATTAAATTCCGTTATTTTGCTCTTCTGTAAAATTTGGTTGGAAGCCCCTTACTGTGTTTTGATTTGGGACAACCGACCTACAACCAGACGATATTGCGGGCAGAAGTGCAAAAACAAAATTAACTGATATCTAATGTGATTAGGTTGCGGAGGTGTTCACGGGCCACGTCGGGAAGCTGGTAAAGTTAGAGGAAACTATAAAGGGATTCAAGAAGGTAAGAACCTGCTAAGTGTTGTAAGTCGTTTAAATAAGTAGTCATAATTTTATTTTTTAAGCATTTAACTGCTAATGTTTAATCTAACGAAAATTTTACTAGAAAAAAAATCCACGCGGACCAGGCAGCAGACGGGACTATCCGGGCGGATGCACTGACTGAATGTCCATCATCTTCATCAGCCTATTAATGTCCCCACTGCTGGGGCACAGGCCTTCCCTATGGATGAAATAGGGTGACTGGGCCATGACCCACCACGCTGGCCCAGTGCGGATTGGTGGGTGCTAACGACTGCAGATGCAGCCGGGACCAACGGCTTAACGTGCCTTCCGAAGCACGGAGGAACTCGAGATAGTAAATTTTTGGTCACCCATCTAATGACCGAAACTGCGAAAGTTGCTTAACTTCAACGATCGCAGCTGATCGCGCTAACCACTTGCGCCATCGAGCTCCTCTGCTCTGAATGTCCGTTTACTATGAATAACTGCTAATAAGTAAAAAAACTAATAGAAAGGATATAATGAAGGATATTCGCTGGGGCAGAATTCTTCGATGACACCCCTTTTAACATAAAAAAACCTCTTCCAGATCTTGGCCGGCGAGCTGGACCACATCCCAGAGGCGGCATTCTACATGGTGGGCACCATCGAGGACGTAGTCGCTAAAGCGCAGGAGCTGGCTAAAACTGTCTGACCAAATGCTATGGAATGATTACTTACAATAAATGAACTGTGATTTAATTAACTGGAGTTCTTTTCTTGTCTGCGTGGTTTTTGCAATGGAACTTCTTTAGGCACGCTTGACTTGGGGAGGTAAATAGGTTATTATTAGTATTAACGGTGACATCGGTAAACAATAAACAATATCCGTCACAAAATACACGATTCTAGTGCTTGGTGGGTGATAACGGACCCAGTGGTTTTTAACACGCTTTTATTAGGTCCACTTGTATGTAACTATGTAATGAAATCAAGAATCTGAATTACACGCACTTATTATTCACTTACTTATTCACGCACTTATTGATTCTTGTATTATCATGAAACTTGGCAATTATATGTAGCCTAGTCACAATATATACACTACGCGAAAAGAAGCGACACTTAAGCATGTGTGCTCGTAAAATCGCCCGCGGCTATGTGTGGGTGTCTGGAGGTGCGCGGGGGCGTTGCGCGGCGCGCGGGGCGTGGAGAGGGCAGTCGCCGACTGCCTCGACCGAAGGGATGGCAGTAGCGAAATAGTAAAATAATAGCGTTGCACTGCATTGCACGCACAGACTGACTACGCTACGCAATCTTATTATTATTTAGATAATAATAAGAATTATAAAACGAATCGAAAAAGGAGAAAATATATAAAAGTTAGCAATTTGTTATAGTACGTACATTAAAAGATTAAAAATTGATTATAAAATCAAACCTATCCTTCATTATTTACCCCAGTATCCTTGAATCAGTTTACATTTAATAACTTACTATGCATAAATATTCATTGACACAAGTCTAAATTCCAAGTTCAACCCTAGCGCATACACGCTCCTGCTCAAGGTCACTGACGCTGGAACTCTCACGTACAGAGAGTGTCACCGCTGTGGCCTAGTGGCCCGCCCTCGCTTCGCTTCGGTGTAGAGCTGAAGTGTAGACTTCAGTTTTTGTTCTCAGGTTTGCATTATACACAATGACATTCATCTATGATTCTTCTTATACCTGCATGCAAAGTCTCAGCCAGATCGGTTTAAAATTGACAATTTCATACAAACTTTCATTCCCTACTATTTTATCCCCTTGGGGGTAGAATTGATAAAAAATTCTTTCTTAGCGGATGCTAAGAAAGAATTTTTTATCAAACATCTACCTGCATGCCAAATTTCAGCCCGATCCGTCCAGTGGTTTGGGCTGTGCGTTGATAGATCACTATGTCAGTCAGTCACCTTTGAGTTTTATATATATAGATTAGATGACAATACAATATTATGGTACAATCGAGCTGGTCTGATGGCGGGACTGAAAGGTGGCTGATGGAACCTTGGACTGCCTACTAGTAAACATATCGAGTTTGGGCTCATTAGATTCACCTTAACATATTCCGTTCATATCTAAAGAAAAATTTTAAGTATTTGCAGATAAATCGAGTTAAGCGATGTAACGAGAAGCAGGTTACACAGATGGCGCTTAATTATTCTATTCATTATAATGATATGAATATTGCATTACTAGTATCTTGATTTCTCAGTCAATTACACAGTCTTTCCTGTTCCTGCGGCCCACACTTTTACAGAGAAATATTATAATGTGTTTTTTTTAAACTATTTTTTTTCTATCAACAAATCTTCAGGTTAAGTTTATGATTTTCAGATCATTGAAGCTAAAGAAGTTTCACTTCAGCCGTGTGGTCATAAGCACTCTTTTTTTTTAAATAAAGAGGTAGGGTCTAGCGGGGATGTAATCTCCACCTTACAGAATACTACAGTAGAATAACACTACCTTTTGGTGATGTTGCGGTTCCAGGGCTGCACGGAATAGAGTCGCGGAAGAATCCCTAACGGGGACCCCGTGTCTTCGCATGGAGCAGCATTGAAGGTATTCGCAGGGTTTTTTAGCAGATATTATACCGTAAAGCGCCAGTAAGAGTTACGGGGTCCTGAGTGGGCAGCCACTGTGGGGTTCGTAAGGCTTGCGGGAGCCAGGTGTGAGGTCCGTTCTGCGGTGTGCCTCTTAAAGGCGCCGTCGTCTGTAAAAATATTTTTTGCCTGCGTATTAAAAAAAATAGGGCTGCACGGAATAGAGGATTGTGTCAGAGTATGCCTACTCTGACACGGCGAGTTCTTTTTTTGTATCTCAACCGTGTACAGGCTATGAAGGCCGCTTACGCAGACCTCGCCTGCGGGGTACAGGGTATGGAGGAGGGCACTTGTATTTTTTTTATTTTTACTGTAGTTAGGTCCGACAACCGAGGAGCTCGATGGCGCGGCTGGTAAGCGCGTTCAGCTGCGATTGTTGAAGTTAAGCAACTTTCGCAGTGGTCGGTCATTGGATGGGTGACCAAAAATCTTCTATCTCGAGCTCCTTCGTGCTTCGGAAGGCACGTTAAGCCGTTGGGCCCGCGTGGCGGGTCATGGCCCAATCTCCCTATTCCATCCATAGGGAAGGCCTGTGCCCCAGCAGTGGGGACATTAATAGGCTGATGATGAGGTCCGACAAATGACTTCACCCCGACTAATGTTAAGTGACGGTGAAGTCCAGACGTGAAGATCTTTTTGATTTATTGATAAGAATGTGCCTGCCGCCTGCACTTCTCACAGTCCCCGTTCTCGTCCTCCCACACACCCTGTACCCCTCAGGCGATGTCTCTGTAAAGCGGTCAATCTATAATATAAATTAGTGTAGAAACGAATATTATTGAAGGACACCCCTGAGAACTTCTTTAAACCATATACTCTGAATGATTTTGAAGTTATGTTTGCAAATAGGTCGCACATTATGCACATTATTGACGAATTTGAAAGATGAATGTCTAGATTGACCGGACTATTTAGAGAATTTATCTCTGGACTGTTGACCAGGGAGTCTACTCTCGAAGAAGTTCAAACGAAATTTAATATCTTGTCTTTTCCTTGACTGTGTCCTTTTCCAGACTTTATATTAATTTATTGTAATTAATTACTTGCATGCAATTAAAAACAAATTTTAAACGATGCCAAAGAAGGATAACTTCTCACGCGCCTACATAAGTACACGCACCCATTTTTTATTATATTTTATGATGTAACTAAAAATTTCCGCTTTCCGCAATTTTTCCTTTATCTGTACTATATGATGTGACTTCGTACCAAAGGACATTGCTCGTTCCCCATACATTGAATGCCCCAGCAACTCAGCAATGAGAAAATGCTAGTTGTGTTCGGAATCATTCATAAACTCTAAATAAGCATTTGTTGAGATACGGACAACTTGAGGAACCGTGGCCTACTACAGAATGTATTAAATTTTGAGATTATAATTATTATACTTAATCGTAAAAGATGTACACTTTATATATTCTGAATAGATTTAGTGTTTACCTCTATGTAAGCACTTAAATAATAGGCATTAAATGAACATAAAATGCAATTAATAATAAAAATAATAAATGCTTATATTCATATTGATTTATGAGTGTTGTCAGTTGGCACCTATGATACCTATACGTACCTACCTGTAGTAGGTAATGATAGATTTCTTTTCAGATGAAATGTTCAGTCTTTCCATTTACCTGTTTCTATACTTTACTATCGGTAATTAGGTATGTACCTGGTTATCATTATGATTTTCATAAAAATAAACGGATATTACATGGAATGGGAGTATAAATTATCTTTAGATAATTTCAGAAATAATCTTTTTATAAATATAATATAAATACTAGTAATAAGTATTATTAACTAAGGTACCTAGTTCTAATTTTATGCTGATTGTTGTCACCTATATTGCATTACTAAGGTAAACAATCTTGGCACAACTTTTTAACAGAATCACCCATTTAATAATAAAATATTAACGAAGCCAATAAACGTTATCATAGACTGAAACCTATTGAATCCAGTTATCAGTTGATTTTTAATGCTGTATATTCAATAAAAAGGAGTGCTAAGTTGGATGAACAGACTGTAGTATCTAGTAACAGAACTTTTTTTTTTATTTTTTTAAACAGATTGTCCGTTTACTATGATTAATTGCTAATAAGTTCAAAAAATTATAGAAAAATAATAGTGAAGGACATTCTTTTGGGCATGCTAGGGCCGATTTCGTCGATGTCCTTTCATCTGTAGGTTTTGATTCCCGTGCGAGTTTCGAAAATTTGCGACAAAAGCGGCTGTATTTTTTGATTGCTTTGGCTTGAGTTCTTCACAGCTCCAAGGGATAGTAGACCTGAGTATTAGATATGAATTTCAGATCGATACCTCGACGCGTTCCTGAGAAAAACGGTCTTGACAGACGGACGGACAACAAAGTGATGCTATAAGGGTTCCATTTTTTCCTTTTGAGGTACGGAACCCTAAAAGGGTGCAATTTTCTTCGGGTTACTCCAACTTTGGTAATAAAATGAAACGACAAACTCACTTTGTACAAATCACAATTTATTTATCTATTTACAAGTCGGCACAGGCCGCACATAAATACACATCTCGGCTACGCTAACACTAGGAAACGATACGACAGCTGCGGCGGCTGCACTCCACGTCTACGCTACGTCAATAGTGGAGCGCCTGGGGGTTTAGACCCATAGAGGTATAAGAATAGAGTGGGGAAGGCGGCTCTAAAAGTTTCAGTCTAGTAGAAAGAGAAAGAAGATGAGAGACCGCTAGCTATCTCTCTCTCCAGTGACGCATTGCATCCAATAGCATCACATCGAAATAGTAACTTGCTTACGGTTGCCAATGCGCATGCGCGATTAGACAAAGAAAGCTAGCGATCTCTCATCTTCTTTCTCTTTCTATTAGAGGGACACTTCCACTTGCAGTAGAGTCTATATCTCCCCTACTCTATTCTTATACCTCTATGTTTAGACCTCGCAACTTTAGATACAGTGAATAATTTTTTATAGTTGTAATGGAAATTTGTTTTTTATACTATAAATTGCAATTTTTACCAATTTTTTGTCTGTGCTTTTGTTTTTTTTAATTATTTAAACAAGAAATAATATTTGAGTATATAAATTCTAATTAAATAATGTTTTTGAAATTAACCTTCTTTTAA